CCTGATGCCAAAAATATTTCCAGTTTTCAAGCGGAACTGGGGATCTAGCTTCTTATGTGAATCTCCTAATCTTTTAATGTTGTCAACAAATTCATATATTTAAAAACACTGGGGAGGCCAAGCAAAACACACCTGCAGACCACTGGTATGTGACTTAATCCATAGGCCAAGAGAAAGCACTAACATCCCCTGAAGTTGGGGCGGTGCTTAAAAGGCTTTAAACATATTATCGCATTGATTCCTCACAATATCACTTATCATCCCCATTGCACAGATGAGGAAACTGAGGTTCAGAGAGGCAAAAAATTCTGACAGGGCTGGGAACAAACAGAGGTCTTCCCGAGAACTTGACATTCCATTTTACACCCTCTCTAGATTCCTAGAAGGGCCTTTAGGGAGCAAATGCCAGGCCCGGAGAGGGCAGGGAGCTGCCCAAGGCCACACAAACATGCATGGCTGGCTGAGACTGATCAAGTTCCTATTCCCTTCTTGGTCAGGGCCCCAGGGTGGTCAGACAGCTCTGGAGGAGAGGACCATGCAGATAGATCTGTCCAGACAAGCCCGAGACCATGGTGACAGGAGAGGAACCCTCTACATTTATTTCCTTGAACAATGCATGTATAAACTTAAGAATGTTCTAGGGGCAGCCGGGTGGCTCAGTTCATTAGAATGCGAGCTCTGAGTAACAGGATTACTGGTTCAATTCCCACATGGGCCAGTGAGCTGCATCTTCTGCAGCCAGGTTGAAGACAATTTGAGTTGAGCTGCCAATGAGCGGCGGGTCATGTGGTCCAGTTGGTTAGAGTGCGTGCTTTTAACAACAAGGTTGCCAGTTCGATTCCCACATGGGATGGTGGGCTGTGACCCCAGCAACTAGATTGAAAATGGCGACTGGACTTAGACCTGAGCTGCGCCCTCCACAACTAAGATTGAAGGACAACAACTTGACTTGGAGCTGATGGGTCCTGGAAAAAAACACACTGTTCCCCAATAAAGTTTTTTAAAAAAGAATGTTCTAGACCCCAAGCCTGGGCCATCAGTTTCTCCACCTCTAAAATCTGGGATTTTGGACTGGGAATCCCAGTCACCTGCTTCCCGGACACTCCATTACTGGGAGCCTCTAAGATTGCCCTGGACCCATTCACCGAGAGCTGGCAATAATTTGGACCCACTGTATGTGATTCTTTCTGATTAAAAAAATGGCCAGGTTTCCCTTCCTTGGTGAATTGTTCAAAGTTTTACCAGGAAGAAATGAGAACTCATCATTCCAAAAGTGGGCCACTCAGAAAGTTAAGGAATTGTTTCCTTCAACCAAGGAATAGGAAATAACTAAAATATGTTCCAATGTCATTATGTGTGAGTTGCTCAGTGTTCTGGACACAGAGAGGGGCTATAGGGAGAAGAGGCCCCACCTCAGGCCTTGAGGATTTACAGTAACTCCCAGGAGGAGCTTAGAGAAACCCCATGACCTTCCCCTTGTGGATCCAGACATGAATCCTTACATGTGGAAAACTCTTGGCTATTGAAGAGTGTGGTGGGTGATTGAGCACCCAGACCTCCTCCGTCCCAACCCTAGCTGTGCGGCTTACTAGCTGTGTGACTCTGGGCAATCCCTCTGTGCCTCAGTTTCTCCATATGTAAAATGGAAATAACAATAGCAGTGCCTGTGTCATAGGATTGTTGGTATATCTTAAAGCACGTTAGAGCAGCACGTGGGCTTCAGCACCTGTAAACGGGATTAATAATAGAATCTACCTCCCAGGGCTGTGGCCTGGATTAAATGAATTGGTATAAGCAAAGCATCTGGAACAGTGGCTGGCACATGGGAAGCACTAGATACCTGTTGGCTATTATGATGCATGATTCCAGATGAAAGAGCTATTGACAACCGAATTTTTTAATTCATTTGCATTTATAGCTTCACCATTGAACTGTTCTTGAAAGTTAGAAGAGCATTTCCTCAAAGAGACTTTCACATTAAGACTTTCCACTGACTCAGACCAAAGGACTCCTCCTCGTCCTTATCACGATCAGGGCGGGCCTTTCTGGCTGTGGGCCTCACTTCCCTCCCTCCCTCCCTCCCTGGCTTGGCTCATTCCAGCTCACAGGACTCACACCCACCGCTTCATGTGTTTCTCCCAGCAGCTCGTGGAGAAGGTGAGTCAGGTAACGTCGCCACCTGATGGATATGACACTGGAGATCCAGCAGCTCCCCAAAGGACAGGGGCACATGTGCTGTGGGACAGGGGCTCAAGCCTGAACACCCGAACCCCAGGCACAAGGAAGCACGGAGGCTGAGGACATGGCTATGGAGTCCCGGACCCACCACTGTCCTTTGGCAAGTCACTCATTTCTCGAAACTTCATTGCCTCACCTTTACAAGGTGGAAAATAATAGTGTCTACTTCCAGGATTTGTTGTGAGGACTGAATGAGTGACAGCATGTAAAATACTTAGAGCACCACCTGGCAGGTGAGGGCTGAATACTTTAGCAGAACAAAACACCCTACTTTGCCTGGCACACTCCTGCTTCCTGCCTGATAGCCCAGCAAACCCTCCAGTTAGAGTCCCCAGTCGCTCTAAAGCATGTCCTGGTTTGGAAGAAAATTATATGGCCACTCTAAAATAATCGCCTGTTGCTGTTTCAATTATTGTTACTTACTATTGTTTTCCACCATACCACACCGAGATTCCAGGAAGCGAACACATTGGCTCAAAATAGTTCACTAATTCCGTACCACACTTAGGTGAGAATGGCCCCTGCCCTGGGTCTTGACACTCTGGTCTTCCTCCAGTTAAGCTCTCATCACAGGGAGAGGAGACTGTGGGGCCAAGGGGGCGTGCCCACCTGGAGCCTGTGCCCCATCCCCTACATCACACTCTGGGTACCCAGGACCCTGGGATTCCCTGCCCAGGTGACCCTAAGTCCTCTTCTGGACTCGAGTTGGTCTCTTCTGAGATCCATCCCCTGAGGACAGACCACACCACTGGGTGCCCAGCCCTGGGCACCTCTCCAGGGGGAGGAGCGGTGTGGCCTGAGCTTGCGTGTGCAGGCTGAGACGTTCACTTGTGTGTGCACAAGGCCCCTTGCAGGGCAGGCCAGAGGCAGAGGTGGGGAAGGAGGGGGCCTCCTCTCCCTGTGCCACCATGCTCCGAGGCAGGGTCCAAGGAGTCTGAGAATTCTACATGCAAAGCTGGCTTTCCAGGTTGTTATGAAAGTGTGCTTGTCAAGGGAGGAGAATAGAACATATTTTATTTCACATTTTGTTAGCTTGATTTATAACTTGCAAATATTTAGACATATGGTATGTGAGCCTCCATCTGTACTCTTGCTGGGCCCCACAAATCCCTGCCACCTTCTGCCCACTCTCAACACCAAATGTTTACTGAGCCCCCCCCCCTCTGTGCTGAGTCCAGGGCACTCCGGGAGTGAGGGCACCCTCCCAGCATCCAAACATGACCATCTACATGGGATCAAACCTCACGCTCCTAAAACAGTGAAGAGTGTTGGGTCAGGAGTGAAGGGCATAGGCCTGGTCTATGGCTCTGTCCCCAACCCCTAGTGAGATGGGGCACCTCCCTGCCCCTCTCCGGGCCTTAGTTTCTCCATTTAGAGAAGAAATCCCTTCAGCTCTGAGTAGGCGTGGGACGCAGACTGAGTCAGGGTGAGAGGAGACAGAATCAGATCAGGGACCTGGCGAGCGCGTGACCTGGATGGACATGGGCAAATAACTTACCAGTTACTTCGGTGCGGAATTGAGCCCTCTGCACCAGGGAGGCACAGGCTGCAGCCCACCCCATTTCATTCATTCATTCATTCATTCCACAAACACTGCAGCCACCTACTTTGTGCCAGGCACTAAGAGATTGGGCCTGAATCTACCAGATATAGGAGAGTAAACAAAACAAGCACCCCGAAAACCAAAACGCAAAGCAAGACTTCGTGAGTGTGCTAGAAAGAGACCTTCTCTAAGCTCCTTCCATCCTCACAACCCCTGGGGCTTATGTCCATTTTTCTGATGAGAAAACGGAGGCCTAGAGAGGTAAGGGACTTGATCAAGAAGATCCTGCCGCGTAGGACGCGCACAGATCCTGTGGCTAGCCAGAAGCAAGGTTTCACATTCCCGCAGTCTCCGGCCACTGTCCCAAGCTAACCGAAGCTGGGGAGGCCCCGTCCAGCTCCCGGAAGGCTGAGGGAGGTGAGCGCCAGGGAGGGGCTGGGCCAGAGGACGCGCTGGCCGGGAGGCAGGGAGGGGCCTGGCGGGGGGCAGCCGGGTGGCCCCGAAGTCTCGGGTGCGCAGCCCCGAGCGCCCAGAGCGCAAGCGGCTGGGCGCGCGCGAGTGGCAGCGGAGCTCGGGTCGGTCCGCCACGGTCCGGCCGGGGTCGAGCTCCGAGGCGCCGGCGGGGGGCGAGGCGGGGCAGCAAGGGCGGTGGTGCAGTGCCCACAGCGGCGGGCTGGGGGAGCTGTGCCCGCTTGTCCCCAAGGCCCCGGCAGGGACCCGGCGGCTGGGTCGCTGCGCCTCTAGCCGGGCCGGGCTAGGCGGCGCGCAGCCGGGCGTGCGTGGAACGGGCTCGGGCCCCAATTCCTCCCGGGCGCCCGGCCGGGGAGGCCCCCGGAGAAGCCCAGTCCCGCGGGCCAGCGCGTCCGCTACCGCCGCCAC